ATATATTAGTATGTAGAATAGTTAAATCATGAGTTATTAAGCATGAGTAAAAAATGAGTATGTTGGTTTTAGAAATAATTAGCCTTTATGGGTAAAACGTTAATAAATGTGTTAATTCAAAGCTTATTAAATCTGAATCATCCTTAATTAATGATGTTTTCAGCGTTAAGTAACCCTTTATTAATGATTAATTAAGGCTAAATAAGTTGTAGTTATTATAAAGTGTTACCATTACGGGTAATAAAGCTAAAACAGTCAATTTTGCGTAATACCTCCTTTAAACAAACAATGTTGCCTTTACATGCAGAATACATTTGTGGTGTTGAAGGTAAATTCTGACAGCATTTTGGTGAAGATCTTTACACTACATGATATAATACTATGGAGACCTACTTGTATTTTTTTTCTCAGAAAATTGATCAAGCCTCCTTGGTGCGACGACTGGGGATCCCTGAATGTTTCCTGTTGGTGACCCAACGCATCACCAAGTATCCATTTCTGGTAGAACGAATCATCAAGAACACAGAGGGTAAAATCTCCTCCTCGTCATTTGCAGACATTTACATTTGGTGTGTTCATGGCATTGATTTGAAGCAAACGATCGGTTGCTCATTTATTTCCTGCTCCTCACAGCTAACATGGACGAGTACAGGTCTCTGGTGAAAGGTTTGGAGCTGATCAGAGAGACCATCTCCCAGGTAAACATTCAGGTCAGAGAATACGAGAAGGTTTATCGTCTGAGAGAGATCAGCCATCGTCTGGAACCAAAGACTCAGGCCCATATGAAAGACGGCCGGGTCTTTCGCAGAGAGGATCTGATCCAAGGTAACAGATCGCTGCTGTATGAAGGCACCCTCACCTGGAAGTCCTCCGGAAAACTGAAAGGTTTGTGTTGAGAGTCCATGAAAACAAAACATAAAAGAAAACGTAGCTCTGTCATTATTTGCCAAAAATACAGTTTAATAAAGACGCAAAGAAACCGTTTCTGGAGCAGATCCTCATGCAAAATATTAAACCAGCTGTTTGTGTCGTTTACATGCTGAGCTGTTTAAATCTCCTCTGCAGAAGTCGTTGCTGTGCTGCTGTCAGACGTGCTCGTCCTCCTACAGGAAAAAGATCAGAAACTTGTTTTTGCTTCCATGGTGAGCCCTGCGAAAACAAAACTTTTTTTTTCTGTTGCCTATTCTGCCTGAGAAAGCATTGTAGTAAAACAAAGGCAACAAAGATGGTCTTAAATCTAAATCACAGATATTTCTCTAAGATAACAAAAAAAAACTTCATACGTTTTCTAACTCTCTGCTCTAATATTATAGGATGTATGTCTATAGTCTACAATGTAGTGATTATATTCTGCTATCATTGGCATCATTACACATTTGTATTGTAACATTTATCTTGTTTACAGGACTACAAGTCACCAGTGATTTCCCTTCAAAGAGTGATTGTCAGAGAAGTGGCCCACGAGGACACAGGCCTGTACCTCATCTGTGCGTGCACTCGTGGTCAGGCAGAAATGTACGAGATCTACACCGGCTCCAGAGAGGAGCGCCAAGCATTGATGACCCTCATACGAGAAGCCGTGGAAAAGTGAGCTGAGGACTTTTATGGAGAAATTTAATGTTATTTTCTGATTGTCTAGAACCAGTTGGTGCTGTATAGAGGAGGAGAGTTGTACTGTTGATGTGAGCGTTCACTTACAGAAAGCTTATTTTAAATAGGAAATAAATTATATTTAACAACATACATTAAGGAGTAATTACACTCTGAATCAACTTTTTTTCAGATGAACTGTCTTAATTGGGCCTTAAAGGGGCAATATCATGTAAAATCAACTGTTTGAGTTTTATATCATGTTATAATGTTATACGCTCATAAAAAACATGCCCAAAGCCTTGCTGTAGCAGTTAAATCCTGTATGTAGCGCTACTGGTTGCAGACTAAGCACAGTAGAAAACTGTTTGCCCCTCCTTGTCGCAACACCTGAACAGAATCACACTTAACTTTAAATAGCCCCATCCCTCACCTGTCAATTAGTATACAAACAGAAATACAACCCACTAGTGGTGATAAGCAATAAAAACAAGATATTTGGCTCCTACACTTACTTCGACTTATTCAAATTCACTCATGCATGTTTGAGAAATCCTGCAGCGTTTTTAGGCAGCCATGCTAAGGAGCAAAACGACAGGTGGGGACCAGAAACGTTCCTGGGACGTGTCTTTAAGCCGAACTTCCTCATGGCAGAGCCCCCCCACACACACATACACACACACCCTGCCCATGACTCCTGCAGGCTCCCGACAGTAACAAAGCAAACAACGGGTGAAACTGAAAGTGAAACTGAAACTGTCTGTTGAGCTCCTAACACTAGGCCCTACTTCTCACTCAGTGAAGCTCTTTTCAGATTCAAAATACCTTTGAGGAAATGTATTTTCA